GGTTTGTTTTATCTGTTGTGTACTTTTTATTGTGATAAACTACAACTAACACCAATTTGCCATTTTTACATTTTATGTGTATACTTCAGTGGCCATAATGTTGTGGAACCATCCTCTCTCTCTATAACGTTTTTTAAAATATAAGTTTTATGTTTCATTATTATTTTCTAACTTTCTTTTTCCCTTAACTTGTATGTCTTGGAAATTTTCCATGTCAGTACACAGACAGGTGTTTTGTCAGTGGTTACCTATCTGACCTACACAGATAGCTACTTTTCATAATATATAAATTTTTTCATAATATGATAATCAATTAGTTGGTTTCTGGTTTTACTTTTACCAATAATTTTGCAGTAAACGTCCTCGAATATACAGCTTGGTGCAGCATATGTAGGAATGTTTTCAGTAGAGATAGCAATGTCTACAGTAAATTTTTAAGAGACAGTATAGCACTGGTGAAATTCTACAGTGTGGCTCTTGGAATTTATGTTATAAAACATGACCGCAAGATGTGAAGTGTTCCTTGAACCTGTGAAGGTTTTTCACTGTGCCAAAGGGAACTTTGCAAATCAGTTTATCTATGGACCGTAAGAGGGAGAGATTATCCTAGTTTACCAGGCTGAACCCACTGTAAATGTAATCAAAAGGTTCCTTATAAAAGAACGGAAAAGATACGTTAGATAACACAGAAAAGAAGACAGAATAAGAATGGAAACAAAGATTGGAGTGTTGTGGCCACATACCAAGGAATACCAATCAGCTACCAGAAGCAGGAAATGATGTATTTTGAAGATTCTATAAAGATTAGAGTAAATATTTATAAAATAATTTTTTAAAACTTATTATGCTTTTTTGTTTTAAACTATGTATTAAAATTACTGTTTAGTAAATGGTATATGCACATTTTGTTTATATAAATCTATGGTAAATTTCATAAAGGATTAAATCAATTCCAACCTACTTTTGTACAGAACCAAACCCTAGTGGTAAATGAATATTTATGTTTTTCTGTGTGAAAAACTAGAGGATTGAAAATTCACCTTATTTCACAAAGTAAGTTATGTGCCTTCAAAACTCCCATTAATACTGGATATGCTATGCAGACAAACATGGCTTACCCAACTCTTTCATATAGTTTTCAAAATTTTCACAAGAAATGGATTTCCATGTTCCTTGGAACTCATACACCATTCTATCTGAAAGAAGCTATCTAAAAAATAGCAAAATAATAAGAGAATGAAATAATTTCATAACAAAATAATAGGTAAATAACAAGTTAGTACATTGTGTATTGTTATCAATAATTAATACATTGCATATTGTTATCTTCAAAGCAGTTAGAGTACAAGATATAGGCATTAAAAATACAGAAATAAAAATTTACAATGACTTCATATGGATGCACGTTGATGTTCCTTGAAATATTATTGAGTAGAGAAAGCAATAAGAAAAATCAGGAGAAAAAATGAGGAATTCTAATCCTTATGATTTTCCCTTGCTATCTTCCAAAAGAGAAAATCTCTTAAATGTAAGTGAGGACCAAAGTGGAAACATAGTAGTTTTTAGCAGGACTAAATCTAACTTTCTTAGCACTGATTAAGGATCAAATATAGACACCGCTCGCTCTCTGAGATCTGCCACACTCTACAGGCGGGTCTGGGTGGCTCTTTTACACCACAGGACTTTGAGACCCAGATCTCTGTCTTTCTCTAACCAACAGGGGTTCAGAAAAGGCCAATTTATTGGTTGTTCAGATACTTTATATTATCCTTCTTGATAGTTTGAGCTCAAATAAAAACAACAAGTCTGCACAGATGGTATTTGACATTTGAAGTAAAAATATCATCAGATGCAGAAAACCACTTTAAGCCAAATGTAACAAACTAAAAGATTAGAATAGAGGAAAAAAAGAGGAGGAGATTGTGATTTACAGAGAGAGAGCTAGAGAGAGAAAAGAAAAAGAGGAGGAAGACAAAGATGAAAACAAAGAAGAAGAGGAGGAGGAAGAGGAGGAGCAAGGAGAAGAGGAGAAGGAGGAAGAGGAGAGAGAGAGAGAGAAACAGAGAGACAGGCAGAGACAGAGAGAGAAAGAGACAGAGAGAGAGACAGAGAGAGAGACAGAGAGAGAGAATATCTTGCTGCTGTTTTCCCAGATGCCAACTCAATTTCTCAACAGCTCAGACAGTGATCATTGCCATTTGGACCCAATACTTTCTGAGAAACTCCTCCTTAATATAGGCTGTTTTCTTTCCTTTCAACCTTCAATGAAACACTCTGATGTCTGTCAATACCTGTAGGAAATCAGGACAGGAAAAGAGCATTAGAAAAAAAAAAAAAAAAAAAAACTTCATCTAGGGAAGAAGAGACTCCAAGCAGTAAATTGAGTGACAAGCTCCTCCTAATACATGCCATTTGCACCTGAAGATGTCCCTGTTAATTTCAGCCTTGCTATGTCCACATGTTAACACAGAGTTATTAGGAAATACTGAAGATATAAAATTTTTTTAAGATAGTAAGGGGATACAATATTTTATAATTTCCATTAAAATGTGAAGTATTCAAACACTAATATCTGTGAAGGCTGTTTATATGGGGTAATACTTCTATTAATATTTATTCAGCAAACATTTATGGAGCAACTATGTTATATGGAATTTTACATACACTATTGATTGAATGTCCCAGTTATGGTTGGAAAGGATATTGCAGTTTGCTGACTGGTTTTCCTGTTTTGAATTAGGCCATTTAACACTATTACTTTTCAAATCAATGTGTATAAATTATAACTTTATGCCCACTCAGTTTAATAGGGATGAGGATAAGGCCAGGAAAGAACCCATCACTGAAGACACTGCAGGTACTAAAGTCAGGTATTTAAGGTAATAAAATTCCTAGGATTTTTTTAAAAAATGTTGTACATATCACCACATATGTTAGGTGCACAAGGAAAATCACTAATTGAAGGTTACCTCTTTAAAAATGTCATATTGGCTGTGGTGTAGGACTCTGTGGTGAAAGCTTTGACTTGAAGCAGCATTAGTAGCTAAATCATGAAACAGAGCTCGTATGTGGCTCTTTCATTTACTTTTCTACCATGTGAAACTCTAGGACTAGACCTAATGCTCACTGACCAAGCCATTTTGTCATCTTGGTTGTTCAAGCGACAGATGCTTTCTATTGTCCATGAATACGCGGTCAAAATCTTCACACATTAACGTTAACTCCCGTTTGTCCATGCACACTCTTCTACCCCGAATATCTCTGAGTTGTCTACAATTTCTCAGCCCTTCACTTCAGACTCCTGAACAGTCTATCAGGCTATTTGACTTTATCAATGACTCCGTACATATTCTTGTCTCAAACCATTGCTCACTCCACACAAAATGAGAACAGGTATATAACTCTGAGCTGTGTCCTGTGAGATAGTTTCCTTATGAGTTTCTCAAGCCCCCGCTCCCATCCCAAGCATAATAAAATCACTGTCCCTTTTCAGCTTGCCTTCAGCAAGCTGAGCTGACTGACCCACAGAACATATTTAAGCTTTTCCTCCTCCAGCTGGTTACATAGGACCTCATATTATTGCAGGTATGATATGAAAATGTGGTGCTGACGTTACCCTGGTAGATGACATGAGGTGTGGGTGCCCTGCTCATAGGATTACCTTATGGCTTCTGGTCTTGTTCAGGATTGATTCCCTATGTACAGTTCAATCTTATGATGGACTACTACCATGCCTACCTGCCTTTCTGGCTCTGTGAGTCTAACAGAACCCAGCTCATAATGGATAGTTCCTAACACACTCTCTGTTAGCATTCTATAGTCAAGGGTTCTGCCTCTATTGGACTCAGGTAGTATATCACAAACTCCCTTTCACAAGGCATATAAGTCTATGTTACTGGTGGCATGGCTTTGCTCTGAAACCCCAGAGGTCTGTGTTGTGATGCTCTTATTGGGGGTACGCATCTTTTTTTATCACTAACACCTTCACACCATAAGGTTGCCATGAATCTAAAGCTATAGCCCTAATTTCCTGCAGATCCCTCTCCTGCTTCAGAGACAATTCAAAACAAGAGCCTTTTATCTCATCTGGTATACAAACTGGAGCATCTGGTATACATCTGGTATACAAAGTAGATGAATAATATGTCAAAGGGTCCTACAGAAACTTTGATGTAGCAGAGCATGATGGAGCATGCCTGTAATCCCAGCACTTGAGAGGCTGAGGCAGGAGGGTCGTTGCAAGTTTGAGACCAGCTGGGGCTACAATAGGAGCTCAAAGCCAGCCTGAACTGCATGGCAAGACTGTTTCTCAAAAGGAAAAGAAAAAGAAACTTTGATGTAAGAAGCAAAATACAGCAATTTGTGGGTTGGAAGAGATGACCTTATACACCATTGACTAAGCTGGATCCCTAAAACATTTTCAAGAGAAGCACAGAAGCCCTTCAGTCCACCTTAATTTCCATCCTCTATTGTGTGTGTCTTATCAAGACCTCCAGGGCGTTAGCTACTTCTTGATTTTCCTGCCCGATCCACAGTGTTGTGCCAGGTGTCCATACAGTCCTGATCTCAACTGATGTGCCAAAGAGCAGGAGCTTCTAACACATTCCGGGGATGAACACAGTATATTACTGGGATGAACACAGTATACTACCATCATAGTATTTCAGCTTTTTTCCCCTGTTGGTTTGCTACATTTATAGCACATCAATTGTTTCTGGATCTGAAATTGGCTAAAGTCTGGGATCTGAGCAAATGATCACAACTTTCTATTGGGATGACCAATCTTAGCCTGTTGCTTCTTCATTCTTGCCAACTCCCTTCAACTTGCCTTAGTTCTTGGCCCTTGTTATGGTAACTACAGTCTCCTGGCTTCTGGCAGTAAAGTGCTGCCTTCTGGCCCGTGATACCTATGATCTTATTCTTCCCCACCGATGTCAATGTGCTGAACTCTATGACAACCCAAGAAAAGGAACTGCTGAAACTTTGGGTGGTGCTGTGGCCCCTCTCATCAGTGCATTCCTGATGGTCCTGATGGTCCTGATGGCATACCTTTGGGACTGTTATGGAACATAATCATCTGACTTGTTTTCTGACTACACACAAGCTGTCTTTCTACAGAATGGTGATTATATTGACCAATAACAAAAGTAGATTCATAACTTTCTTACAGGGAAGGAGAAAAAGGCTTACCACACAATTGTTTCTAGCCTTTTGAGATAGAGTAAATCCCTGACTTATAAATATTCAAATTGCAAACTTTCACAGATACCAAGGGACCTCACATTATGAACATTCGTAGATGCAAACAAATTGAGGAGGTAGCTCGTGTGTCTGCTGGACACTGTCACCACTGTGCTGCTGTGTACAGTAGTGCAGTGCTCAGTCAGAGCCCAGCATGTGTGGAAGCAAGAAGAAAATCAGTGGTGATGTGGAGGGGATGACTAGGAAGCACAAAGAAATATACATTGTATATTTGTGTCAAGAGTGTGTAAGGCTCTCAAGAGTGTGTGTGGGTGCCCTGCTCATAAGATTACTTTGTTGGGCTCACAGACAAATCCAACTTATGAACGTTCTCCCAGAATGGAATTCATTCATAAATTGAGGACTTTACTGAATTTGAGTTATTTCAGCTAAGTACTTGGAAGTGTTTTGCAGCTGTACAAGGTACACTGCACTTTTTTGCAGCAGATATTGGCATGCAAAGAAAACTCAGGATTTACTTGTTTGCTATTCATTCAATAAACATTTTAGCACCTAAGTGAAAGATCCTCACACTGGCTCTTTCCCATCACTGAGTATACAATTTGGATTGAAAGAGACATGCAAAGTGTTTCTAACATTATGACAGATATCCTGTGATGTGCTAAATTCCCCGGTATTTCCTCATGGATACCTACTGATATAGCAGGCAGTGGGAGAACAAGTTATTTTGGAGCAGGAATTGGCAAACTATGACCTCCATACCAAATCTTGCAGCCATGTGTAGATAGCTTTATTAGAACATAGCCACACTCACTCCTGTATGTATTATCTCTGGCTATTCTCATGCTACGATAACAATATTGGATAGTTCTGAAAAACACATCTTGAATCACAAAACCTAACATATTTATTATCTAGATCTTTATAAAAAAAACTCAATTCCTGTTTTAGAATCGCAAGTTTTATTATCTAAAACTGGGGGTTGGAACTGAACAACTACTAGGTTTGTAAGCTTTCTTGGCTTAAGATGTAAAAGTGGTAGGTGACTTTTTTGGTCTCATAGTTTTTTCATTAATAGAAGACATGTTTATAACCATGTTATGGATAGGGACAATAAAAATGTAGCAGAAGAAACTAAGGTCTGGAATTTTATAAAAATCATAGAAGAGACAGTTATCAGTAAAATATAGATGGGATATTTTGAAAATTGCCTTGAGTGCCACAAGCCGGAAAAACATGAGAACTGGGAGACAATTGACTAGGGGGAAAAAGGGCAAAAGCATTGCTCTGTTATCTGCTTCTTCCTGAGTCTGACCCTAGGTACCTAATGAGCACGTTAAATTGCAAAGCTTTCTTCAGAGACAGCCTTGAGTATCTACAAAATTTTCCTACTTTCTTAGTCACTTAATGATGTTAAGGCTTGAGGTAATTCATGTAATTCTGACCTGCTTAGATTTAAACTATGCTTTGAGGGAAAATCTTTATAGTGACTTTAAAAATTATAGATAGATAGATAGATAGATAGATAGATAGATGGTAGACAGATGATAGATAGGTAGATAAGGAAAAGTCTACTATGAAATTAAGTACTGTAGCAAACAAAAAATTGTGAGCTAAATATCTGGCTCTCTTCTTGTACTGGTTGGCACAGCCCTCCTCATCCTGAAGTGTTTGCCTGTTAAGGACACGGGGAAAGAGCTGCCAGTTTGGCTTGCCAGGAGCCTTGGGGTACTTCTCACTGTCTTCACCACCCAGATGAGCAGCTGGAGGTAAAGAAGCTTGGATGAAATGCTAGGAACAAGGGACACTGGAGTCGCATCGAGCAACATCGTGGCTCTGCTTCTCGATGATATTCTTCATATACTTGTTCAACATTTTTCTATAGGCTGGAAATTGCTATAGGCTGAATGGTGTCCCCCATTTTCCCCATTCAAGTCCCAATACCCAGTACTTGTAAGCATGACCTTATTTAGAAATGGGATCTCTGCAGATATATTAAGGATCACAAGATGAGATTGTTCTGGATTTAGGTACACAATAAACGTAAATAACGTGTTGTAATTAAATAAAGAAAAAAAAAGATTTAAAACACTGAACCAAAGGAAAAAGTCTCATGAAAACTTACACAGATACTGGAGGGCAGCCACAAGCTAAGGAGCACCAAGAACTCCCAGGAGCAATGAGAAGGGAAACAGGGAGTAAATTCTCTTCCAGAGCCTTTCAAATGCTTCTTGGCCTCCAAATATAGGAGAATAAATTTCTGCCCCATTCCCATACCTTGTGCTGGAGGTCAAACCCAGAGCCTCCAGCATGCTGAGCACACGCACCACCACTAAACTACACTCCCATCTCTTCCTGTTGTTTTAAATCATCAAATATGTAGCAATTTGTTGTAGCAAACTTAGGAAAGTAATATAGGGAAAAGGCTGTTTTTTAAATCTTAGATCTTCTTATGTTTAAAATAAGGAGTTTATTTAATTATGCAAAATACTATTTAAACATATTTAGAATAATCTTTATTTCACTGTATTTCTTTGGTTCTTTAAAGGTAATACTACTACTGTCATCATTTCATCAAAGAGAAAAGTAATTTTATAAGTGACAGTATAGTGACAGAATAAAAACTGCATAACATTAAATATTATGGCTATATGTTAAAGTTACAATTTTTTTTCTGAAGTTCATGTAGAAAACATCTTCCTTACTTATCTCATTTTTCAATCCTGCCCTCTCCTGCTGTCTTCTCCAGTCAATTTTATTTCTGGTACTTTTCAGCAACATACAACTTCCTTTGGGTGTGTATGGAAAAACAAGATTTAGACTACAAAAAAATGCTGATTTTGGTAAACAGTACTGTAGTTTGCTGTGCTTTCTGTTTTCCAGCAGAACACTCACTGCAGGGTGGTGTTGGGATCAGGTGCTGGCTTGCTGGTACTGTATGCTTCTAAGAAGTCACATTGTTCAGACCAATCAAAATAATAGAGAGACTTCCTGGAGGAGACTGAATAAAGAGTGAAACGCCAGCACTAGGCAGCCTGTGATTCATATTTGCTGGGTTCTCATGCTCTGCTGCCCTTACTTCCTATAGCTTGAGCTTCTGGAACCCCACCTACTGTCTGAGCTCTGTCCCTAAGGCCTCAACCAATTATGCTGGCATCAAATTATTAGCCCTGATTTGCTTTTATAAAAATGCCAACTCCTGTGAGGCACTCTAAATCATCTTAATCAGAATTGCCAGCAACTATGCTGGGAATATGTGCTTTAAAAATTTTCCCCAGATTTTGACTGAAATCTGAGGTCAAGTGATTAAAGACAAATACTATAGACCAGTGGTTTGCAAAGTGTGGGCCTTACCATCTAGCCTCACTGTTACCTAAGAATGTTCTCGAAATGCAAGTTCTTGGGCAGCACCCCAGGTCTGCTGAATCAGAAACTCTGGAGAAAGGGCCTAGAAATTTTTGTTTTAGCAAGCAGTTCAGGTGATTCTGATGCATACTCAAGTAACAACTATTTCCCACGATTAGACTCATTTCTAAAGAAC